GGGGGGGGGGGGCGGGGCAGCGCCAGCGGGCCGGGGCGTGAAAAAACAAATATGCTTCCTCACTGTGTGATTCGCCGTGTACTTACTACTTACTTACTTTCTCACTCAGCCCTGCTCCTGGCGCCCTCACGTGCAAGAGCGTAGTCTTGTGGACTGACTTGTATCTATGGCTGCAGCTGACGGGTTGCGCCGATGTCTCGCTGACGTCGCCGCGGTCGCGGACCGTCCGCTTGACAAAGATGTTGAGGATCGCGTGGCAATGGTCGAATCTGTCGCCGACTACCTCAAAACCCTCGGCGCGGATGCACTCAACACTTCATTTGCCACACGTCTCCAGCAGGCGGGCTTCAAGATCGTCTCGTTGGGGATGGCGTTGCAGCGGCTGCACCAGAAAAAAATTAGATATTCTTACCTTCTTGCCCCCCTCCGAGACTGGAGACACCCACACCCCAGTATCAGACCAGGGGGACTGCCCCCCGCCCCCGCTTGCCCTGCCTGCGCAGGATAGCGTGCCCCGAGACGGCGACACTTAGCGAGGGTCACTGCGCAAGGAGGGGGTGCGTCGACTTTTTTATTTTTGCTTTATTTGTCCTCTCGGGGGAATGTTCCCTCGGCGCCCATGGCCTTCTGAGGTTTCGTACTAATGACGTCCTTCTTGGCACTTCGGGCGTCGGTGTGTGCGTATCTGTGGTGTCTAATTCCCCCGGTTTTTATTATTTTATTTATTTGTTTTTATGCTATATAGGTCGCCACGTTTTGACCCCTCTCACTCATGAAGCGATCTCTGGCTGGCTCCCTTGCCGCGAGCGGTGAAGGTCGCCAGTTCGAAACCTGCTTCGACCCTTATATTATTTTTTCTCACCTGAGCGGGCTCGATTTTGCTTAGGTGCCTCCTCGATTCGATCCAGCGTTCTCAGGCAGTCGCCTGGTGCGTGTTTCGTTTTCGTCATGGGAGGGCGGCGGCTGCACCAGATGAATGGTCTGACGCAGGCTGGTCGGCATCCAGAGGTGGCAAAGGAGGCTCCCACCCGAAGGTGGACGAGGAGCTGCGAGTGGTGACCATCTCATCTGCCTTATCAGCCGACTCATCGGAGCGGGATTGGGATTCGCCGAGAACCCCCAAATTTTTGGGGGAGTTTGATATTCACAGTCGTTTACACTGACAAACAAAGAGTTGTTTGGTATTGCCAGCCCCGGCAGCCGTCTTTCGCTCCTTTCGTCGAGCCACGACATATTTGTCCGGACCGTCGAGGCGGGCAGCGAACACTCGTTCGAGCATCGTAGACGACGCCCTCACCGGCGCCCCCGCGTCGTCGTTGGCTTTGTTCGCCGCCTTGTCTGCTGCCCCCTTCTCCCGCAAATCGAGCTGCGCCCGCACTGCCGCCATCGCGTTCGTCGCCTGCGAGGCGACCTTCGCCACCTTGGCCTTCCTCTCCCGCTCTGCCGCCGCCTTCCGGTCCTCGCGGCGGTCCGCCAGCGGGTTGTCGCCGGCGTCAGCAGCCACGATCATGGCCGTGACACCCTCGCCTGCGCCATGCCGAATCTCGACGCGCGTCCCAAAAGTCGCCAAAAGTCGCCAAAAGTGGCGGCGCGTCGCAATCACCCGCCCGCCGTCCCGGCGGTCCCGCAGCTCGCGCACATCTCCCTCTTAACCCACCTGTAACATCACATAAAGGTATTGCTAAAAATCTCTCTCTTTACACTGAGGGGGCAATGGCTATGATTATTCGGGTTGCTTTGCCGTCATCATTCAGGGCGGCGTCCTTACCATGCATGGCGTCTCAAGTCAATTATTAATATTGCTGGTGTCCGCCGTGCGAGGCGCCGTTCCACTTCAGCGCCGCCGGTCTGGCGCGGTTTCCTATTTGCAATTATTGGGCAGCAACTTATTGGCGCGGTTTTCGCGATGTCTCTCTTAGCTCTGGGTCGCAATGGGCGATCCCAGGCGGGAGCAGAGGCCAGTGGCCTCGATTCTCTGATCCCACCCTCCTCCCATATCCCCTTCTTAGTTAGTTTCGCGGAGAGGGGTAGAGTGCGAATTCCGCAATGTGTGCCATGCATTGCGTCCTCGCGATTGTAACATGCGGATATGACCAAACGACTCCGTTCACAGCCGCAAGTTACGAGCTTGTACCAGCAGGAAGCAGGTGTCAGCTGACGACGGGATGACGAAGGGGTCGTAAAATTCTCGTCGTAAAATTCTTTTGAGCTTAGCCTTCGATGTTAGGGAACAAAGCACTACGTGCCTCCCCGTCTTTGTAGCCTGGCGTTTGTGCCCCGTTTGTGCCGCGTCCCGTGCCCCCGAGTTCATTTTATAAACAAAGCGGACATGGCATATCGCTCTCGGGCCCACAGACATCCCGCACACCCGCCACCCCCGCGCGCGCCCCACCCCGGCCGTGAGAGGAGAGCTCTACTGTAGAGAGACAATTCTTTGCCCGACATCGCCGCGCGAGTCTAGTGATGTCATCGCTCGAGCTCCTCGCGTGGGCCCTGCTGATCCTTGTCCTCCTGCGCGCGCTCGTGTCCCTCGAGCAAATCTACAGCCTGCTCCGGCCGGACGCGCCATCGCCGCCGCCGCTCAGCGGCGTCCCTCGCGTGCTGCTGCGCAAGGCGGCGCTGACGCTCAAGGGCGCGGTCTACCTGGTGCTGTCGCGCGACAAGGTGTCGAGCTCGGCGCTGCGCCGGACCATCGATCCCGCCGAGCTCGAGCCCTCGCGCGTCACCCGGGAGGCCGCACCGCTGCCCGCGCCGCCGCGCCGCGGCTTGCCTCGGGGAGCCGCGGCTCCCGACGCCGCTCGCCGCGCCCGGCCGCAGGTGCGCCTCATCTTTGTGAGGCACGGCGAGTCGGTCTGGAACTTGGTCTTCAATCGAGGTGCGGACGCTCCCGAGACACTTACCGCTTGCCACTTCCCGCCGGCTGCAACGTGCCTCTCGCCTCTCCGAGATGCTCTCCGGCTGCCACTGGGCCACGCTTGCGCCCTCACCTTCCTTCTCTTTACGCCTTGCCTGTGCCTTCCCGCCCGCCCACCCCCTCCCCGTCCCCTGCCCGAGTCCAGGCTTTGGCCCCTCCTTCCTGTGGCGCCTTCTCTCGACGCTGCTGCACGAGCGGCTAGATGCAGGACCTCTCCCCAGATCTCCCCAGATCTCCCCAGATCTCCCCAGATCTCCCCAGATCTCCCCAGATCTCCCCAGATCTCGAGCGGCTAGATGCAGGACCCAGATCCTTGCCTCCCGAGGACCACTCGAGAGGGCGCGCACTCAACTGGACTCTGAGCTCGCTTCCACCGCACTCGTACCCGGTGCAGACTCACGGCACCAAGCAGTCCTCCTCACAGATGACTGATGACTAGTCGCTAATGAAAGGTCGAGCTGCCTCGCCCCATCAGGCACGAGCTGCTCCTCGTGCCCGTGGACGACTCCGCCTTCCTCGACTCGCCCCTCTCGCCGCTAGGGCTGCAGCAGTGCGGGCAGCTCGCGATCTTCACTACGAACTAGTCAGCAGCCATCAGCCATCAGCCGTTAGGCTGCAGCAGTGCGGGCAGCTCGCGACCTTCCTCGCGCAGCCCTGCGTCGAGGGCGAGGTTGCGGCGCGGGGCTGGTAGATGCGGAACACGGAGGTCGAAGGCGCTCGCTTGCGCCCCGACTCTCGCCGCCGCACTCAAGGTTGGCCCGAGGGGAAGGCAGCGCAATGGCCGCCTCTGGCCGTGAGCATGTCCTCCGCAACGCAGGAGCGGGAGACACACACACACACACACACTCACACACACAAATCTCACACACACACACACACACACACACACACCGCTCACCCACGCGCACTGGGCCTTGCACTTTGAATGCCGTGCGGCTCCTGTCTCAGACGCGGCGGAGTCGCCAGGGCTGCCTGGGCCCTAATCCCCATGTCCATTGTGTGGAGGAGCTTCCGGTGGCCTCACCTCGGTGTACGAACTCTGTTCACACCTCGGTGTACGAACTCTGTTCACACCTCGGTGTACGAACTCTGTTCACACCTCGGTGTACGAACTCTGTTCACACCTCGGTGTACGAACTCTGTTCACACCTCGGTGTACGAACTCTGTTCACACCTCGGTGTACGAACTCTGTTCACACCTCGGTGTACGAACTCTGTTCACACCTCGGTGTACGAACTCTGTTCACACCTCGGTGTACGAACTCTGTTCACACCTCGGTGTACGAACTCTGTTCACACCTCGGTGTACGAACTCTGTTCACACCTCGGTGTACGAACTCTGTTCACACCTCGGTGTACGAACTCTGTTCACACCTCGGTGTACGAACTCTGTTCACACCTCGGTGTACGAACTCTGTTCACACCTCGGTGTACGAACTCTGTTCACACCTCGGTGTACGAACTCTGTTCACACCTCGGTGTACGAACTCTGTTCACACCTCGGTGTACGAACTCTGTTCACACCTCGGTGTACGAACTCTGTTCACACCTCGCCTCTGCCGCAGGAGCGGGACCACCGGGCGCTGACGACTCCTGGAGGTGCACTGCTGGTCGCGTCACAGCTGCGCCGCGCAGTCGGCACGCCCAGCCCCTTCCCCGAGAGGAGCTCGAGAGGAGGTCGAGAGGAGCTCGAGTTGAGCTCGAGATTGCTCGAGAGCAGGCACGCTCGGCCTCGCGCTGCGCTCGCGTCTCGCAGCGTCGGACGAGCCGGTGCTGCTGCACTCGAGCTTGCAGGAACCCCCCCCCCCTCTCGCTCGCTCGCTCGCTCGCTCGCTCGCTCGCTCGCTCGCTCGCTCCCTCCCTCAGTCCCTCTACTGACTCTCTCTCCCTAAAGCTGAGTCAAGCATGAATCGTTAAAGGAACGCGCCCTGAAGCGGCCCATTAAACCGCGCCGGTGTGGTGGTACCGCGCAGCGGGGCCACTCAGATTGCCATTGATGATGTCCGGACGGTCCTT